TTGTTGCTACTTCATAACTGTAATTTTGCTACTGTTATGAATCAGGCAACCCCTGTGAAAGGGTCATTTGACATTCAGAGGGGTCACGACCAACAGGTTGAGAACCGCTGCCCCAGACTTTATTTTTTCTGATAACCATATACCGTCTGTTCCCCCCCCCACCACCATATTTAGAAGCAATACTTTTAAATTTATCCTTGTATATTAGTCTTTTGGATTTTTCATCAGATAATTCCACCACCATACTGTACTTCCAAAGTTTTAAATTGTGTTTTTTTTATTTTGGTGATAATAAGGAATATCATTGTCCAATTCCAATTAACAAACGGAATGGTTTCAGGTTCTCCATGTTTTGTGAGATGTTGGCCATTGATGCTACATATATAGTCTTTATTATGTTGAGAAATTTCCCTCCTATTAATTTTTTGCTGAGTGTTTTTTCATCAAGAATGAGTTAGGGTTTTGTTTTAAGAGGGAAGTTATGAGGCATGTTATAAAGCATCTGACTATATTGCCATCTTGTGAATACCTCCTCTTGGACAATATTCTGTGGTGACCATAGGAATTTCATTGGCTAATATTCACAAGTAGATCATCAGCAAGGAATTTCATTGGCTAATATTCACAAGTAGATCATCAGAACTTTCTTCTTAATCTCTTAATCTGGAAGCTTTGCTCAAATGTATCTAATATGGGTGGACTTACTGTTATTTGAAATATTACTGGACTAGCTTTCAGCATCATAGAAATATGCGAGCTTACACAGTATGACACACTATTCGATGGGTTGGAGATAGGGAGTTGAAAACAAGCAGTTGCTTTCTTATGCATCAGAAAAATTAATCTTGAGGAAATACAGGCACTTAATTGCAGTACAGTATATTGAAGTTGATACTCATAGTATAGTCACTATATTCTGAAGATGTACTATAAGCAGGGCTACCACTTGCAAAAGAATAAAACAGGACTCATACCTCACGCCATGTACATAAAGGAACTCAAGAGGTGTTAAATATCATGTCCACTCTTGCCTTGTGTCAATTTTCATTGGTTTAGTTGTATTTTTCCTTATTAAAATACTCAGCAGTTTGAAACCACCAGCCACTCCATTGGAGAGATGAGCCTTTTTACTTCTATAAAGAATTACAGTCTCAGAAACTCACAGGGACAGTTCTACCCTGTCCTACAGGGTCAATATGAGTCAGCATAGACTCGATGGGAGTGAGTTTGATTTTAGTGCTTATTAGACCCATAAGTTTTCCCCTATTTTTTCATTGATGGTCCTTATGGTTATAGGGTTTATATTCAGGATGAGCCCTGAACAATTCCAGGGAACATCTTTAATGTTAAGTTTTGCGAGGGTCCAGTCAGGGTGCGATGTAACAACGATGAAAAATACAACTTTCCTCTAGTTCCTAAATGTTTCCTCCCCGCTCCCACTACCATGACTCAAATTCGACCTTGCAAGTCTGGCTAGACCAGAGGATGTACACTGGTACAGATAGGAACTGAAAATCCAGGGAATCCAGGGCGGATGA